CCCTTCGCCCATATTCTGGGAAAGAAAACTGGTGCCAGGTACATTGGCATACCTACAAAATACCAAATTATAGTCCTAAGTCCCTGTCTGGCCACAGAGCAGGTGCCTGGGGATGCTGTTTCTCTACCAAGCACAGAATGAAGGCTGCATGACAAGGGTGTTTGTTTTCAGAGATATTCGTTCTAGTTCCTCTCTGGTGTGTGGGCAATCAAACCTTTGGGCTAGAGGACATCTCTGCTAACCGGTGATGTGCAAGGAGCCCTCAGCCTCTGTCTCTGCAGATGGTAACAGGGCCTTTCCCTGTCCATGTAGCCATCGGTGGCGAATCTGTGTAGGGCACCAGGGCTGACACATGCACAGGCGTTGGTTGGACAGGTGTGGGTTGGTGCAGAGCCCTTCTTGAGAGACGTGTGGCGAAACAAGTGAGCAGCTGGTACAGTGTCTGGGTGCGTGGAGGCTTTGGGGAAGGCCGGCGGGAGGACAGGGAGCTGGGGCACGCTGTCCTGAGTGCTGTGCGTCCTAGGAGGTGTGTGAGCCTGTGCGAGCGTCACGTCTGCCCGACCTAACCCCTGCTCCCCTCGCACCCGCAGTCTGCGAGTCCTGCCAGGAGTACTTCGTGGATGAGTGCCCGAACCACGGTCCCCCGGTGTTCGTGTCTGACACCCCAGTGCCTGTTGGCATCCCTGACCGGGCAGCACTGACCATCCCGCCGGGAATGGAGGTGGTGAAAGAGCCCAACGGGGAGAATGACGTGCGCTGTATGAACGAGGTGATCCCCAAAGGTCACATCTTCGGGCCATACGAGGGGCAGATCTCTAGCCAGGACAAGTCCGCAGGATTCTTCTCGTGGCTGGTGAGTGATGTGTCTCCTCTACAAAGTGATGCCCCAGCCATGCAGCTCAGACCTGGGGGACTCACGGGCCTGTGGAGACAGACCTTAGCCATCTTCCTCCTCCTCTGAATTTCTTCTGCTGACCTACATGGGCAGTAGGCAAACATTGACCTGCCATAATTATTAGCAGCTTAAGGGTATAGGTAAGTGAAAGAAGCCCAGGTGCCATGGCACCTGAGTTTATTTCACAGACATAGGAATCAGAGCTTGCTACTTCTCTCCCCCTTGCCATGTTCTTCCATCCATCCCCACTCAACGTCAAGGGCTCCTCCAGTACCTTTCTCTGCTCTGGTCATCATTTTGAGGACAGAGGAAGGATTGTAGAGCTCTCCTGTGGGCCTGCAGTACTCCCTCCCAGCCCGCTTGAGCAGAGCAGGTGGCCCAAGAGGCCAGGAAAGAGGAGATCCAGTCCATCAGGAGCTGATCTACATGCAGACTCCAGTACCAAAACCCATATTTTTTTACCTTGGTACTACAGGCTTCAGTTAGCCTATGAGATAGAGATGTCACTAGATCGATGGATATTAATTATTATGAGAAATGAGATGTAGGACTTGAGTTATAGGTGCGGAAAAAATTGAGAGCTGCTGATATGAAATGCTGCTCATGCTTTTCTGTCTTTAAAATAAATGTGTGTCTCAGCCCTATCCTGAATGGGTAGTTAATCTTTTATATCTCAGGACTGTTAAAAAATTTTGTCAGCTGCATACATAGTTCTGTGTTACGGATATTTGTACATAGGAAAGTGTCTCTTAGTTCAGAGTAGCCTCCACACGCATATCTGGGGCAGCAGCCTGTAGTACTAGGGTTGCTGAGATTCATGGTGTAGAGTTTCATGTCCTGACTTAAGGCTAGAACCAAATCAGTGATTTGAGAGTCGTAGACCTCACGTCTGGACCAGCTAGTTGACATGCAGCATCTATTCTCTTGTTCCACAGATTGTTGATAAGAACAACCGTTACAAATCTATCGATGGGACGGATGAAACCAAAGCAAACTGGATGAGGTGAGTCCAGTTCTCTTCTGCCTTCCCTTTTGGGCCTCTGTCTTCCAGAGAGAGGCCATCAAACAGTCCTTGTTATTTTGTGTGACAGAAAAACAAACCAAAATGCCACAACCCCTTCTATAAAGGGTGTGCTTTTGCTTTTTCAGTATTTATTGTGATGAGAATCCTTTGGACTCAGATTCAATGAAAGGGACTAAAACAAGGATGTGTGTATTGAGGATGGCTGTTTTCTGGAATGAGGACAAATGATAAAGACGATCCTATGTACCCACTCTTACAAACGCTGACAGGTCTCCATTTTTTTTAATTTTTTTTTTTTACTTTATGTTCAAATATTTGCAAAATGCTTTGCATTATCCCGAAGGTAACATTTTATTTTGTTGGGGGTTTTTTGTCTTTTCCCATTTGACAGATATTGAAAGAGGTGCTTTTTCGTTTGGTTTTTTTTTTTTTTCCTTTTTTTTCCTGGGCTTCACTTGAAACAGTTGTCTGTGGTGGCTGTCACTGGTAGTGCCAGCTTTACTGTGTTGGGAGAAACACGGAGTGAGTTGCTGCAGCTCGGAAGGCAGAAATCATGCGTGTGCTTGCGCTCCCTCTGCTGGCCCCAGGACTAACAGAGCAGAACCCAAACACCAGTCAGTACTGAACCAGGAGCGGGGCTGGCTCTGGTTTGTTGACTGCAGCAGTAAGGGAACATGTTTAATGGCATGTATCTGCAAAATGTAGGTCGCTCTTGCAGCCTCCTGAGGCGGAGGCAAAGCACTGAAGTGCCTCGTGCATAGGGTGAGCCACCAGAATGGGACATTGCTGCATACTGTGGCCCGTCCCACATTAGGACCAATCCTGCTTTCAGGGATGAATTTTGGAAGTGGTTGTTGTCAAGAAAGCATTTCATATAAGAGTAAAGCAGCATGGGAATTAACTGGTTCATTGGCCTGGATGCCTAGGATTTTCAGTTGTCACTCACTGAGGGAAGAGAGAGCGTGAAATACAGGTAGATGCAAGACTGACCTATCTGGTCAAAGCTGATTGCGCTACTTTTGCTGCATTTGAGTCTTCACCTGGATAGCAGCTGTTCTGACACTTATGTTCATAAAGCTCAGCAAAGGATCTCAATTCTCTGTAAGAATTCCAGCTGTTACACTTGCTCACTACTGGATGAGAGAAAATGCTAGACCTGGGTTGAGGCTGGAGTTGTCACTCCAAAAAGAAGCAGTGGTACAGTGGACAGATAGGTAAGGGGACATACATCTTGAACTAAAGACTGCAAAGTTCAAAAATCAGAGCAAGATTTTTCTGCTTGGATCTGGATCTTTACGTGGTCTAGGTGACAGTGAAACTGGGAGAAAAAACAGTTTTGCCTTTGTAAGGCAAAAATCCTGTGATGAACTCTTCTTCTGAGTGCCATGAACATAAGCTTGATGTTTTGATTTAACTGAGCACTATTCATGGCCCCAGCACCAAAGAATGAACTTGCCTAAACTTGTATTTGCTGTTCCAAGACAAGTGTGATCTGGGCCATTTGGTACAGCCATGAAAGGCTGTACAGGAGGTTACGGTTTTGTGGAAAGGCGACGTTTGCAACTCTTCTGGGGAAGGATGTATCAAGGGACCTGTGCAGGCTTACTGACCTTTTTGTTTTTACTCTTGAAAATTGCTTCTGATAGCAGTATTATCTTGAGTCTGACTGATGGTTCAAGTGGAGATAGTAGTCCTCAAAAAGCTTTGGTTTTGTTTGTTAGCAGCACTTGATATCCTGTGCTAGGACATTACCTGTCATGGAGATTACCCACAGAAACCACGCTTCCAGGACGCTGTAGACAGCGCTCTTTTTGTTTTTCAGATGGTGCTCTTTGCCATCACTCACAGATGGAGTGCTTTGCAAAGCAGATCTACTCACCCTCTGGGTAGGTGGGTATGGCACGGGGAGGGCAGCTTGGGCTGACTCCTCTCTCTTCTTGTAGATCTGGCTATTGTTTTTGTTGTTTGACTGCCACATCTGAGTCCATTTTCATGTTTCCACTGAGGACAATGTGTACACTGCAGCACTTGCTGGTTTAATTTCAAGTGGCTGTTTACCCAGGGCAATAAATGACAGGGAGGAAGGAGTATGAAGCGTAGCAGATGGCATGGCAATGGTAACATCCTCTTGCCCTTTCCCTCTTCAGTCACTCAGTCAAGACAAACTCCTGATGGTGGGAGCGTGTTCTCCTGTTGGCACAAGGGTAATGCACCCTTCATCTCTGCCCAGAGTAAAGCAGTGTTGTTTCCAGTACTTTGTGAAGCTCCATGGCTTTGACCCGCAGGGATGTGTGCAAACCTCCTCCTCTGTTTTTATTTTTCTGGGGGCTCAGAGTGACCAATTACCGTGGATCACAGCAAACCTCAAGAGAAATAGGTGCTTTCTCAGACACAAACCATAAACTGCTGCTGCTGCGAGTTCTCGGGGCTTCTGAAGCATTGCACAGAACCAGCTGTTGTTCCTGGTTACTTCTGAGGAAAATCTCTTATTCAGTTGTTGCGGACCTTTAAAAAAAAAAAAAAGGATTTGACCAAAAAATGAAAGTAACTCAGAAATTCTAGAAAACATCCTTCTGTGTGTGTATATCACTTTGCCCAGACTGAGATGCAGGATAGGAAGCACCAGCAAACTGGTGGCGCCTAACCAAATTGTTGAAGTGCCTAACGTGTGGGTTTTCCAGGCTAGTTTTGACATTTATAGTCTGTATCCCTTCTTACATGAGTATCAGAGTTCTTGGGATTTTGGCACAGTTCAAATTCATCCTTTCCCTCAGCCCACGTGAAAAGGCTGTTGCAAGACTTCCTCACTTCTTTCTCCTTTGCTTTCCGCCTCCTTTCCCCTCCAAACATAGTAACAAAGAGGCCATGGGGAGCAAGACTGTTTTGTATGTCTTCCTGGTCTCCTTGTATTGGAGATGTCTGCGATTTGATCTCCATACAATAACAGAGCTTGTAAGGGACCTTTGCTCCGGCACTGCAATGACCTGCTCAAAGCTAGGACCAACTTAGATCAGTAGATCTTTTAAGTACTGAGCTGCTGTTTTGACTTTACAGGACCTTTCAAAAATAAATATTTTTAAAAATTCAGGGTTACCATGGCTGCCTGTGTATTCAGGGGGAGTAGAAGCCACCAGCCTATCCATAAGTCATTTTGTTGAACTTCATAAACTGACCTCCGCTACCTCACAGCAAGTGAAGCAAATGATCTTATGCATTACAGACTGAAATTTATGCAGAGCAAAGTGGTCCTGAAGTATTGCAGGACTGTTATCCCTGTAAAACAAAAAATTCCCCAGAGCTCTGAAGTGGTTATATGCTTGCTTCTTAGAGGCCAAGAAGAGTGGAGTCAGCTGATATCTTTGTGGGGTGATCATTAAGTGCCCACTGTTCACATAGTTTACAACATCACATGTGTTTTTAAAGAAATAGCTGTACAGTCTTGCACTTTCAGATTGACCAGGGCTGAGGTGTGAATTTGTGGACCCGCAGCTGGGACTCCTCTGGAGCTTGCTAAAACCCACATGGCATCCCCAGAGAGGTACTTCCAAATATCAGTGACTGCTCCTAGAGGCATCGTGCATCCTAGAGGAAATGCACAAGGGTAGAAAGATCTCCTGACAGTAATACTGTCTGCATTTTTATAAGGAGGAGGTTAATGTGCCTGCTGGGAACCTAACATTAATTGAATTCGTGATTAAAACTGGCCAGAACTCATTACTCTTTGCGTGGTGAGTTTGCTGTTGGAATACTTAAGTTACCTTAAATAGTTTTGACCCAAGTCATGCTGGAGCAAATGAGGGGAAGCCCTGAAATCTGAATATCCAGGCCTACCACAGGTTGTCGTAAGTGCACTTGATGGGATACCCTGCCTGGAAAGAGCAAAAAGGGCTGTAATTCCCCATTGGTGCAGCTTGGCTAGTGGCCATGGGTTCAGCAAAGAAGAGGCAATGCAGGTTTCCTGACCCCACCAGTGGCTCTGAGCAGCTCCGGAGGGACTTCTGTTCTGCAAGCTCACCTGTGCCCAGGGGCACTTTGCAAAATAGTGTTACTCTTTTCACCAGAGCAGCTTGTCAGTGGAGGAGGTTTCCACCACATGGAGGCACTGATGATACTGTGCAGTCATGGGCACCCGCAGAGAATATACATGAAGTCCAGTTTTGCTGAATGTGATAAAAATGAAACTGTAAATGTTCCCTTGCTCAATGTTCTGTGTAGCCTTTTCCTTCCTTCCAGTGTTCAGCTGGGAGAACTCCTTTTTCCTTTTAAGTTTGGGTTGGGTTTTTTTTTTTTTCCCTTGAGGTCAGTGTAGCAAGTGCTTTGCTGGCTCTCCATAATTTCATTACCATCTTTCCTGAACACTCCTTCTGTCCCTCCGTAAAGGAAGCTCCACCAAAACAGTATCTCAAGGATGCATTTACATTTGTCCAAGTGAAATGCATCTGTGTGCTTAGCTCCCTGCTCCCCCTGTATGTGGCCTGGATTTGAGCAGGATTTCCTACTGATTTTCCAGCTTTAACCAAAGTTAACAGCTTCTGACACTCTGATGGAAGGCAGCAGTGTCAGTGAGATTCATTAAACAGTAGTGTAACAGCACTAAGGAGAAACCAGAACATCTGACAAGAGTCACTCTGCCTTTCTGCAGGTTTTTCTTAGTCTGCAGCCCACAAGCACCTTTCACATGAGAGCACCCCAAACCACCTCTCTTCTGGGCCATGGCGGTGCTGAAAGGCACCCACCTCTGAGGAGGTGCCAGCAGGGCCAGCACAAACATGGAACAAGTGGGAAAAATGCTGAGACCTTTGCTTATACCAACTTTTCAGAAAGTATTTTGGGGTGGCTAAAGTCTGCCTGTGAGAGATAGAGCATTCAGCCAAGATTTTAGGATTAAATGTAGTTTTTTGAAAGAGGAGAGTCTGAGCTATCCCAGTCAGAGTTTATTACCCTAACATTGCAAAGATGCTAGCAGTAGGTCCCAAATT